AGCAGGATATGTGTTGTGCCATTTTTTTTAAGGAAATAACATAGTTTCTAAGTCACAAGACAGGTCACATCAGCTAGAGGTGTTTGGAGTCAGGAACATGATGAGAATGTGCTTGTATTTTGTTAGGGGAGCTTTTTTATGCAGACGTGTATACAACATGTTAGTGCAGCGTGGCTCTTTGATCATCAGCTGCAGATGTTTCAGCTGTCCTAACACTGACCAGGTTACCTTAACTTTGGTAGTGCAAGGCCTTATTGTTTCTTCTGTGGATTTTTTTTTTTTTTTTTTTTTTTGTCCAGCAGTTCTGGTGGTGATGAACTTGGGCCAAACTTATTCAGCTGGTCTGTGTTATCCTGTTGCCAGTAACCCAAAGACCAGCTGAGAACCCTTGTGACAGGTCAGGCTGACATCTGAATGTTGTAAAGGAGAAAAGTACAGCCAGAGTAAGCTGCTGAGGTAATCTTCTGACTTTGAGATGCAGCAGCGGGTTTGTTGTTTGAGTGCAGTAGTATTCTTAGGGACACTGATGTTCCCAGGAGTGTGCACAGTGTGAAGTTTTAACCCACCTGCAAGCCTGTAGTGGTCTGCTGGTCAGGAACCACACTGAACGTGAGCTGAGCTAACGCAGGTGTTCCAGCAGCAGTCAGTGTAATAATCTGGTGCAGTTTGGCAGTGTCTCATCCTTAAAGTGACAATGTGATCATAATGTCACTAGCCTGTAGTCTCTGTCAGCCTTACACACAGTCAGATGTGCTTTGTCACCCAGTGCTACTGTGTTCATCATACCTGAACTCATTGAATTGCCACATTCCCACACAGTAACTTCTGCGTGTCCAGGTTCTTGTTTACAGCACATGCCATTTATCTTGTTTTCAGAAAGAACAAAACTTGAGTTGCTTTCCACATGTCGCAGAAGAAGAGCATAGTTTAAAAAAAAACAACCCACAAACATAATGGAAGACACTTTATTTTTTGCAATCACAGAAATGGAACAGCAAATTATACCTGGGAATAAGGCTAGAACTGAAGTTGAGGAGTTCAAATGTAGTAGTAATGCATCAGTAGGAGAAGAGGCGTGCTGACTTTATTCTCTCTTTTTTTCTGGCAGGACACCTACATCAGACCTCAACATGGCGTTGCATGAGTGCATGGCAGCTCTGGATTTATTTCTTAACAACAAGTTCTCAGATGCTTTGGCTTCTTTACAAGCAAAGTAAGTTCATTACTTTTATTAGTTTTGCTCTGTTATTTTTCTTTGCTTCACCATCTCTCAGGAGAATTGACTAGACAGCTAGTTCTGTGTCAACAGTTGATAAGACTACATGGTCTTGGTTCAGAAGGGGGTGGTAAGTTAATGTGTTACGTGTTGGGGAAGACAGCGTAAGTGCTTTACGCTTGAGTGAACAAATAACAAGTAACTACAAGAAGTACTGAATTGTTGTCCAAAGAGGTAACCCCTCAGCTGTAGTACGGTATGTGAGATTCTTGCTCCTGGAAGAATGAAAACCATCTCCTGTCACTGTTTTTCCCCTCCTTTCCTGTATTTTTCTGCATACTGTGAGAATTTAAGTTTTTGCGTCTAGATGAGCAACTGACCATGAATTGCCAGGTTTGGGGCACATTTCTTTTGGTTTTTTTTTTTTTTTTTTTTTTTTTTTTTTTTTTTAAATAACCACTTGCAGAAACTTCCTCACAGCTTATTTTGCAATTCAGTGGCATGGTCAGGCACTCTGTTTCCTAAATACATTGCAGCCCAGCTGCAAGCAGCAAGGTCATAAAATAGCTTCTAAAAATTGTGGTGTCTTTACAATGTCTGTGATTTTTCATATGCTGTCCTCAAGTTACCTGTGCTTGGTTTGTTGAAGTCTGTTGTTAATTCACTTTTTTCTCCTTCCCCCCAATTTGCTACGTTTATTTTTGAGGCATCAGCAAATTACATCATGCCTTCTTTCAGGCCACTGGAATACGAAACAAGTAAAATTTTGTAGGTAACGCAGTGCTGTGTTTGATATGCATCAGGGTGCCTATAATGAATACTACATATCTGCTTTGCCGAGGGATCAGCCTCAGTCTTTGATGCAAGAATCTGTAGCTTAACCATATCATTAATGTCTTTCACAGAGTGTGCTTATAAATTGTAGGTTCAGATGTATTAATAATACTGGTTTTATTCACAGCAGTGTTGTTTTGTGTGTATATATCATCAGAAGATACCATAAAAATGGTAAGAATAACAACTGCGTTTTCATTAGATACTGACAGTAAAGCCCCTGTGCCCATCTGGAAATGCTTCTTCAGTGCTTACCATAGAAAAGGGAGATATTTTATTGAAGGGGGTTTCCAAAACACTGCAAAAGCTCGAGAGGCTGTGTTTCTGTAAATCCATTTTTCTTCTGTTGCGTGTGGTTTTCATTCAGCTTTTGTTGGGCCCTGCAGGACATATATCATGAGCTGATACTTTGTTTTTGTACCTGACTGTATTCCGCATTGCAATAACATTTTGAAACTGATTTTTCATGTTAGCCTCTTATTACAAGGAGGCCCTTATTCCCGTTGTCCTTTGGCATTGACAATGTTCGCGAGTATAGTGCAGAAACAGGCTGCTAAATTTCCCCACAGACTATATCCATTATGGACACACTCCATCTCTTTAGGGAATCACAAGAGCTGTAGAGTGGGCACATGTGGTAATACTGAGTATTTTCTTTAGGAGTCATCAGTTCCTCACTGTTGCCTTTTAGCATGCTGAGATTTGAAATTGGTTTTCACAGTCCATAAACATACTGTCTTTGTTTAAAGAAATACTTTCCAGTTTTTACATGCTTCTGAAGAATTTCGTATCGTTAGATTTTGCAGCTTTACCACTTATATTGTAGGACATACTCTGCTCTGTATTACGTTGTTGCAGATTCACTAAATTACTCACATTTGGCTTCCACAATAAGTGTATTTGCAACTGATTTGTGCCATGTGTAGCTGTGAGTGGATTTGGCAGTGCATGAGAGTTAAAATCGGAAGATCTTTCCTAGCAGCTTAAAAATAAATATGAGAGGATGATGTCTAGACTTGTGTTGAGGTAAAGTTCTTTTTTTCCTGTTAGAAAAGCAAATCCATCATCAAGAAGAGATCTTGTTTCATTTTAAAAAAAAAACTGTTATTTTTACTTCATGTTACGTAATTTTTCTTGTTTCCTCAGCTATCTTTTCTGTTTTAGAGTTAGTTTGCTTTATTATCATTAACAATCATTGTACAATAATGGACTCCAATTATCTTGTGGTTTCTGCAGTAAGTTTAATTAAATTAACCTTTAATATGGAGTATTCACGCTAAGTCTAAAAACTCTTAAGAAATTCCTTAAATTCAGTCACTGAACACAGCAGTGATTTTCAATATGTAACCTGTTAACTGTGACTATGGCTAACTGTCTGGTCACTGAGTGGGGAAAACATCTCTTCCTCCTCAACCCAGAGATACATACAGTAAATCAATTTAAAGCTCGCTAGATTTTAGCCCTCATGTAGTTGCAGATAATTATAAATTAAAGAGCTGATCCTGGTGAGATATCCCCTTCCCTTTCCTCAAGACAAATGTTTAATAATTATCCTGAAGAAAAGCATGACATAATCACCTAATAGTTTGCTGATGTCAGATCACTTGGGAGAATGGTAAATAATAAAGATAAATTCATGACACAGAGTAATCTGGATCACTGAATGAGCTGCAACACATCTGTGTTGCTGTTTGCGGTATTATAGAACAATATGAGAAGGGTTCATTCTGGGCAGTTGACTTTATTCTGAAAATAGTCTCCAAAAAATGGAGTGGTGGAATGTTAATTCTAGAATGACTGTGTTTGGAAGGTAAGTTCAGCCTGGTAATGTGGGAGTATCTCGGGTAGGTGTGATGAGATTGTGTTACTGCTCTGCTAGTTACTTGTGAAACTCTTACTGGAACAGTGTAGTTCTGTGGTACCTGTTTACTATTGGTGGAATTTTTAATATAAACCCAATTTACGGTATTAACTGTTATATGTTCTCATCTTTAAAGGATGATAAAGGAAATTAATCTTTTTGTAATGGCTGTCTTCATGTTGTGGTGAAATGTTCTTGCTCTTGTAGAACAAAAGCAAACATGAGGTTGTTCAGGGGGGTGGACGAGCTTTCCCTGGGAACTGATCCAACAAAGAAGGTGTGATTGTCAACCTGAGAATGGTGGAAGAGTAAGCACAGGGAGGCAGGGTGAAGCTCTAGACAGTGGTTGGGTAAAAGGTGGTGTACAGCTCTACAGAAAGTTCAAGTTCACTATTTATTGTAAAGAATGTCAAGAACATGAAGGAGGTCATAATTTCTAGGGTTTTGGTTTTTTTTTTTTTTTTCCTTTTTATGCCTGGAGTCCGGAAGAATACAACTTTTATAGTCTTTGTAGATAGATACATTGCTGCCAAAACGTGACCTAATTGTTAGTTTAACCTCCCAGCTGAAAGAATTTACTAGATTACGAATTTTGGAGAATGGCTTAGATGGAAAAGGCTCAGGGGGTTACTCCTGTTGAACCTCAGCTTTTCTGGCAGCTTGTGGTAATAAGTAGGGAGCGGGGCTGGTGGTTGGTTAGAATTGTCTTTTCTCGTTGTAAGCATAATGCTATTGGGGAGTTTTCATAGGAAATAAGTTTTTATTGGAAAATGTTGATTCATCAAAACAGAAACTTTCTATGGAAGCCCATGCAGTAGGTCTATCAGGTTGTTTGGACACTGGGTGGAACTTCTGATCATTTATGTACTTGTTTTCAAGTTCTTCATCAGCTGTGAAGAAAGGGCAGTGCTGCAAGATGATAATGATTGCACTGTAGTTGGAGACCATGCATGTGGCATAACTCCCTAGGTGCCTAAAGATATTAGTTATAATCCTCTTACTCAGCTATCTGGGATAAGTCATTAATTGGAATATTAGTTGTATTTATGTCATAAAGGCTTGTTAAGGCCAACAACGTCCTGGGGAAAGTGCTGCTGAGGAATCAAAAGGGAAAAAAATAGCTATCAAGTTTAATTCTGTATCCATCCATATAAAATGCAGGCCTTAAAACTCCTGGCGGTATGCCAGGATGTAACTGGCAACTTTAATTGCATGGGTAGTGTAAATAGCATAAATAACTGTTAACATTTGGTTGCACTTCTACCCACTTTCCAGCCCTGAAAAAAAAAAAATTAGTGTTGTTAAATACCAGTTGACGAATTATAAACATTAATTATTATCTTCTTTAAAATATTAGAAGCAAAATAGATGAGACCATTGATTAGGGCAGCAGTGATTTAATATCAGAAGCTAATTACCAGAGAGGGAAATCCCTCTTCACCATGTACCTGTAAAAAGTATCAATTTTCCTTTTAGTGCAGTGAGTTTAATATTTATCTGCTTTGGTTTGGAAGGAGACTATTTTAGTGCCTTCCCTGTGCTTTGAATTTGAACCTTTGGAAGGGTTTTGTTTTAATAAATATGAGATGAAGTGTGTTTCTCTGCGCCCACTGAGGCTGATGAGTAATCAGACGAACAGGAACACTTCATCAGGCTGGCATTTTATAGTATGTTCTTTTTTTTTTTTTTTACTTTGCATTGTCAGTCTACCGAAAGAATCATGATGCAGGAGGCCAAGATATAGCTGTTCTGGCTCCTCTGGATTTTAAACTAATTTCTTCATTATCTGGATTTGTGTCATGTGTTGTAGTATTCATTAGATAACTCTATTAAAAAACCCCATGATTCTATGGTCCCTGAATGGTTGGCCATGTGGTTAATTCCTGAGCTTTGTCGTGTATGTTAAATACTTACCCTTGGCTCAGAATTGGAACATCTTAGCACAGTTCATGAAACTGGAGCTGTAGGCATGATTTCCTATACAAATCTCAATATATTAGCGTTTCTTTATTATTTTGCATATCCTTTGTGTTTGATTTCTTGTTTATTTAGACCTAGGTCCCATTAGACTGATCAGTTTCTGGAATTGGATTTGTATTTTTTTTTTATAAGTAGTAATATAGTCAAATCATCTGTGCTTTGCATCGTATGTTTTCTTGCAGAACTAAAGATAGCATGTATCATGCACTGACTTATGCCACCATATTGGAGATGCAAGCTATGATGACATTCGATCCTCAGGACATACTGAATGCAGGAAACACAATGAAGGAAGCTCAAGCCACCTGTCAAAAGTAAGTGTGGAGCAATTCAGTCAATAATCAGTCCCCTCACAGGAAAATTTTGAAAGATGTACAGGTGAAAAAAGGGCATGTAACTTCATAGAAATCATAGGAAAACTGAGGTTGGAAGGGACATCAGGAGGTCATCTGGTCCAGCCTCCTGCTCAAAGGAGGGTCAGGTATGAGGTCACACCGCATAACTTAGGGTTTTCGGCAGTCTAGTCTTGAAAACTTCAGTTTACTGCAATGTCTGATTTTTCTTGTCAATTAGATTTTTGTCCTGTCTGTAGCCCCGGTTCTGCAGCTTCTGGAAGTTATTTACTATCTACAGACACTGCAGAATCTTCCTGTTTGGCGATGGTTGTGCTGTAGCTGTCTTTAGGTCGGCTGTGGTCCCACTCCTGCACACACGTGCACACGCACAAAATAAATCAAAAAGCCACCTTATCCCATTCCTTCAAGACAGATTTCCACATGTGAAGGGTAAAAGATGCATCCCAGGAGGATCCTGTTGACTAAGTTCTGTATGGAATATGCTGAAGTTTGTGGTAAGACAACAGAGGGTTGGTGAGCACTAGGAGGTGTATTAGTGGCTGTGTGCGTGGCCAGCTGAAAGGTATTGTTCTCTGTTGTTGATGCTTCACATTCAAAATGACCAAACTGACTTTTCTGCAGATTTAGGAAGAAATCTACTGTAGCTGATTCTATCAACAACCTTGTGCATAGACAAAGCCTTGAGCACTTTACTGAAGGTAATATTATCTCTAAATGCATGATATTTTTGTCTTTTTTGCTGCAATTTGAATTTTGTAGAATTGTTCACCCAAAACATATTTTTGCAGATTATGAGTCCACTGACAAAATCTCTGGTTTGGCATTGACAAAATTGCTGGATCAGTGTTTTGGCAATTGCTGTGTCGCCACATCCAAAATTACTAGGTTTTTTCTTTGGTTGCTGACTCGGCATTTCCAAAAATTGTTGGGTAAAGAAATACCTAGAGAGAAGTAGGGAAATGCTTAGAAAGGTTCTAGATCCAGGAATTCCTGGAAGGCACCAGAGAAGTTCCTGCAAAGTTCCTGGAACTGTGTGTCATTACTGTTCAGAGTTACTTCGGTAGTCTAGAACGGAAATACTACAGCAAATTTGGAAAAGGTTTTTCTCAGTTTGAACTTTATCTTATTATGTTATTAATGGGCTAAGTGTTTTTTAATCACTTTTTGTCCAATTGCTTTGTTTTCTTCCCCTCTCTGTGTGTCGCTAGAGGAAATCCATGCAGAAATTTGCTATGCTGAATGTTTACTTCAGAGAGCAGCACTCACATTCCTCCAGGTATGGATTCCTGTGTGGCTCTTTGGGAGAAAAAAAAATACACACCATATAGGTGTCTTTTCTTGAAATTAATGAAACGGTAGAAAACCCTAGTTTGACCTAATGAACAAGGCTCATCTGGATTAAATCTGGATTTTATCTGGACTCTCTGCTGATGAGATAGTAGAATGTTTTGTTATCCATGTTTATCTAAAAATGCTTATCTTGATACGTATAGCACTGAGTCCCCTATGATGCCTCTCTCCGGTCTTTTGAAAGTGGGAAATGTGACTTCAGTAAGCACCAATTTTCAAATACTGTGTGTCGGGATATCAGATTTAGGCGGGGGGAGATGGTCATTAAAGCTGTGCTATGCTGGAATGCAGGTGAGATTTTTATTTCAGTCAGGCTGGTGTTTGCTTTCCCAAGATGCTTTCTCACTTGTTTGTTCTTTAAAGCTATTATGGTCTGCATAGCTATTAGGCTCCATGCATGCTTTTTGTTAACAGTGCTGTCTTTAAAAGAAGGGGAGCTCTTCCTCTTCTTTGAATTTTATCTGTCTGCACTAATGAAGCTTGATTTGTTTGATGGATCAACATTAGCAATACTTACATGGGCTCCAGCTTGCAATTTAAATTGTTAATCACAGTTGGAGTAACTGATTTTTCTTGATTTGCCTGTACTTGCTATATGACAGTGGAGCTCTTCGTCTATGCAGGGGGGATAGTAAAAGTCACATTCACAAAGGGCTTCTGCTTCTTGGCTCGAAGATGCTGATAGAGAATGAAATGCAGGTGGTGATTTTGTAGTGTTTGGGCGTTGCCAAATGGGCTCTGATTTATGTTGCTTGTGATAGTTTATGAACTGTGTAACTTTTTTCAGCGATCTGCAGTTTCCCTCTGCTAGAAACTATTGCTTCATAACACAACCGGTAGTCAGAGTAGCTGCTTCTGAAGGTTTTTAGAGTGCTGGTGATGGTGACTTTATGGTAAGATGCTGGACTCTGAAATGGCTACCTATTTCCATATTCTTCCTGCTTTGAGATGAGCAACCTCTAGCACTGTAGACAGTTTGGGTGGTATCTGGAGCTATGGAAGCAAGCCTTTACAGAAGTAAAGCATTTGTCTGTAAGAAAGGAGTGTTTTAATGCAGTGTCTTTTGTTTGAGCGCTATTTTCACAGGTGTCTTTTTAAAAATGTTTATAGATACATGAGAGATTTAACAGTAAGAAAACAATGTCTTGTCCTTTTCTGTCTGTTTGCCTCCTCTTCTATTCTGTGTTTAATTTTTCATGAACACGTAAACTGGTTTTAAAAATTAAACAAAGGCATTTGGTTCCAACAGCTATTGAAGTGGGTTACTTTTGATGCCTAATGTAAATTACCAAATCCAGTTGAAAATACATAAAAAATAGTCTCAGGCTTTTTCAGGGGCTGGACTACCCTCAGCATAGTTATCTCTGTTGTTGGTATTATGAGTATTCTGAATTTAAACATTTTAAACCCATAGTCTTCCCTCTTTCCATTTTCCATTCAAAGGAAAATCTAACTGAAACTTTATGTATGGTTAGGTGGGCTGTACCCCCTGCCCTCCAGTTGCTAATTAAAAACTGACTTTTTCTACAGAACAAAGGAAAACAAGGTTGCATTTTTGGTGGTTATTTTGTTTGCGCATGATTGGGGTTCAAGTCTCTGCAGATATGTCATAAGTAATTACACAGCCATTATGGTGCATAGTTTCTATCCTCATTACCACTCTCTTGATGATGTTGCTTTAGGATGACTGTCAAGGACACAGGCCAGTGGTGGTGTTGCAGGCTGCAGGAGCAAGCCCCTGCCCTTCAGTTCAGGCCATTAGGCTTCCTATGCTATTAAAATTCTTCCAGAGTTTGCTTTCTCTAACTTTGGATTGAGTTATCTTCCTGACTTACAGGAGGCAGGTTCTGTCTCTTTATTTACATATTGATGAGTACATTTGGGCCCTGTTTCCTTAACAATAACAGTAAAACAGCGAAATGGTCATCTAATCTGTGCTATTTTCTCCACAATGCTTCATGCAGCCTTTTAAAATACCATCACAGAAAAATCGTTTGCCAAAACACGTGTAGTCTTCCTATCCCAAAGTAATAGCAGAAATCAAAACAAACCAGAAAGATCAGATACGATGAGTGAGGCAAGAAGCTGCCACCAGAAAGTTATGAGGCTAGAGTTCTGTCTTTGAGATACAGCTGTTAACTGATGGTTCCCCAGATACACGTTGCTGTAACTTCTCTGTTCATCATAGCTTGTAATGTAACACATTACCATACTAGCATGGATCTCATAGATACCTGAATATTCACACCAGAAAAAGCATATCCTGCATAACTTTACCCTGCTTCATTTTCAGGATGTGAAACTGTATTCTGCAGCCTCCTGAGGACAGACCGTTATTTGTGTCTGGTGCTGGGAAGTGTTCAGATCTTAACTGTGCTGAAGGACAAATGAGAGAAAGATATTTTTTGAAACAGCCACAAATGCACGTACCTTAGGTGCCATTCATTAGCTTAGTCCTTGTGTTCACTAGTGCAAATTCAGATGGTCTACAGGTCAGAGAGGCTAAAGTAATCACAAAAGGCATCAAAATGAAGTGTATATGTCTGAACACAGTATAAATATTTTAATATAGAAAGGAAATCCTAAATCCATGTATTGTTTCTCAATTGTCTGTGTCTTGATGGTTGTGTTCAAGGCAGGTGTTCATCTCAAGACAAGAGCTCTTTATAATGCTTATAAATTCATGTTGTGAATGTGTTCCCGTTCTAACAGGATGAGAATATGGTTAGCTTCATAAAAGGAGGCATCAAAGTCCGAAACAGCTACCAAACATACAGGTAAGTCAGAGCGATAATGTGATTAAGTGTACTATTTCAGTAAAAAGTCCTGCTGGTCGAATTGTCCAGTTCACAAATTAATTATTGTTGTATTTATTGCAGCCTTTATTATGGGCTTTGTGTCTATAGCCTTTCTCAGTCCACACAAATTCCTCCTTTGCGTAACAAACAACTTTGATATTTTGGTTGATTTGGATTGCAAAGATAGTGGTCTCTAACCCTGTTAATTCCCAAAGTCTGCCTACTTCAAATACTTTAAATTATGTCAAAAAATAACTGTTCTACATGATGTGGTGCTCATTGTGTCTGTGTAGCACAACTTGGAGGTCTCGCAGTTGTTAGGCATAGGAAATGACATTTCTTTATAGTTCTCTCTGCAGCTTTTTGCAACATTCAAAACCAGTAGCTGAAGCACAAGTAATTCCATAATAAATGCATGAAACGAAAACAAAATTAAGAGACCGTAAGGTGAAGAGCTTGCGATGGAAAGTATAAATGTCTTCAAAGATTAAATGAATTTACAGGAAATAGGTTTATAGGGGTTAGTTAGCTTAGTAGAACCGATGCAGGCTCTCTGCATTATGAAGTCCCTGAACTATCAGTGCCTAGAGGGTGTTTCTCGAAGTGTATGCCACTGTCTGAGTGAAATATTTTGTTAGCTGGGCTTTTAATCTAGTTAAGTATGGCAGTTGTTCTACTCTAAAGAGAAGGTGCATGCTATTGAAAATGATAAGCAGGATTGCTTATCTGACCTCACAATATTCCCATTACTTAGTGCCTGTAAGCCAAAAACATCTGCTTAAGCAGATTTCTTTTCATCCAGGAAGTTACGGAGAGCTACTTTCAACATATGCAGAAAGTTTTGAAGTGCAGTAGTAAATTCTAAAAATTACATTAAAATGTACACTATGGGAAGTGTACTTGGCTGTGCCTTGATAAATTAAGATCAGCTCTTGTGTGTGTAAGAACAAAGTGTTACAAATCTAGTAGCTCTTAGGTGGCCTTCTTCAAAAGAATGCTCATACCAACTCACATACTACTAAAATGTGTTTTAACAAAGAGAAAGTTTGTATATGAGAATGGCAGTTATGATTTTTGCACTTTACCTTTGATGTGCGAAGAAATAATTGTTCACTGTTTTGGTGCAACAGGTAGAGTGTAGTGCAACAGGTTACACAGAAAACAATGAAATATGGAAATGAGACTTTGTTTGCTTTGCTTAATAGTTGTTGATATAAGAAACCATCTTCCCTTTCCCCACTGACAGCAGTAGAAGTAATCTGCAACAACAGCAACCCTGAAAAGACAGGAGGAGTAAATGTTGCAAAGATACAATTTTTAAAACTCTCTTTCGGGGAGGAGCGGTTACCGTACACTGTAAAAAAGCTGGAATGAAATAAAACAATAATTCAGAATGAAACATTTGCTTATTGTCAGTGAATAAAAAGTATCAGAAAACTTTCATGATACTACAGACTTACGAATAATTTTAAAAAGTGAAAGCTAAATATGCATCATATTCTCTTTTATTTTTGGACTTTAAATTTGGACTCAGAACAGACACAAAAACTGATGTGTCTAGCAGACACAAAATAGCATCCAGTCCAGGTTCTCCAGAAGTATAGTGAAAGGGAGAGAGATGACAGTGTCCATATTTGTGTGGCTTGAAGGTGACTTTAAATGGAGGTCCCTTGTAAAGACTGCAATTACGATGAATACTGCTATATCTGTTGGCAACAACCAGCAGATGGAAGCATGACAGCCTGAACACAAATATGTGGCTGCCATTAAAACAGTGTTTTTCTTCTCCTAGTAATTAAAAAAACCTAAATTGTGTGAAAAACACATAGCTATGGAAAGCTTGGAAACAAAACAGGCTCAAATCCAGCTGGATTACAAGGGGAAGTAAAGGGATACTGTAAAGTTGAGATCTATGAAAGTTAGAAAAATAAGTGGAAAGTAATTTCTGATATACCTGCCCATTTTATTTAAAAGTTCTTACAATTGTCTTTTCCTATATGTAACAAAATGTTATTTTGAATGAACGTGCACAAAAAGGGAATACCTAATCCAGGAATTAGTGGAACTCAAATCAAATTTGCTAATTTAAATTTGACTCTCCTGCACTGCCCCATCGTCTCTTTTTGCAGTAGTAAAAGTTGGTGTTACTCCCAGCTGCCATTCTTGAAACATTTTCAAGCAGAAATGTGGTTGCAAATTGTGTCTGACAGGAATCAATCTCCATATATCAATCTCTATATTTTTTTAATTGATAGTAATGTGACAGAAATTATTTGTTGATAAATCCAACAGACTGTTGTAGGTGTTGTTCACCTAGGTGAGGTGACAAATTGACTTTTTTTCAACTACTGTGAAGTTCAAGGTAACTGGGTTACTTTCTTACTGAGTTGTAATTAATCATTTTATTTGCTGACAATGTAACAGAGTCTTGTGCATTTTCAGGGAGCTGGACAGCCTCATACAGTCTCCACATTATGTCAAAGGAGAGAACCATCTTCATTTTGAGGGAGGTGTAAAACTTGGAGTTGGAGCATTTAATCTGGTACGTACCAACAGTCCTTCTCTTGAGCTGAAGTCCTGCAACCTCCTGAAAATTATCTTAACTTCTTAAATACCTGAGAATTTCCACTGACATCAGTGCTGCTAATCATACAGTTAAAATTAGGTATGTGCACTGACACTTGCAGGATCCCAGCCTCTGGGCTAAGAACGTCGGATAGTAATACACTTTAGAAATAAAGAGACTACTACCTACAATGTGGGCAATGCTGCTCTGTGTGTACAGACCCACTTGAGCATCTTCATGGGGAGATGATGGGGTTCCTGGTATGTCAGGCATTGACTCACAGATTGTGAGGGGTGATGTGGTTGCTCAGGTAATGGGCTGCAGAAAGTGCCTGGTGCTTCCCCTTGTTTGCATGACTTTGTGTGAGTCTGGCATGTGCCCAAATGTTAGATTTACTGCACAAAGAACAAGTTATGTACTGGGTCGTGTACACCCAGTGTTTCTGAAATAAAGATATTTTTAGTAATTTTAGTGATTATTTCTTGATTATTTCTTGTGTTTTGAAAAGTTGTAGGAGGCAGCTGATAGCTGAGAAGCAGAAAGGTGTTTACTACATAACTGTTGCATTTCTTTCTACAGACATTGTCCATGTTTCCTGCACGGATTCTGAGATTACTGGAGTTCGTTGGATTTTCTGGAAACAAGGTAAATGTGAACTAAATGTTATTGGTACATTCCCCTCACCCTTAGTTTATCACATGGAGACAGGAGTTTCTTTCTTCTTCCTCACATTAGCTGTAACCCTCTGAAACACTCTGACTGGTGTCACATGCGCACTGTTGGCACTGATGCTTTCATGCAGTTTATATTTTTACCTGAACTATTACACTTCAAAGATTGTGCTACCATTGTTCAATGATGACACAGTTGTGAAACATGATAAAGACAATGGCTAATACAATGATGTTGACATATTCATTTTTTTTAGTTACTGGTCTTTTGATATATGCTTTTGCTTAGCCAACTATATCCATAGCCAAGTGTATACTTAGCCTTTAATATATTGTCTTACTTGATAGTTACTGTCATTACGGTGTCTGAATGTCCCTGACAGGTTCGTGCACGACATCCACCTGAAAAAAAAAAAATCAAATTTAATTTCTGACTTTTTTTTCTCCATCTTTAATAGCAATTGATAACTTGATTGTGGCACCTAAATTCTCTTTGCCTAAAAGAGTAAGTGCTTTTTTGCTTAGAGAGTAACCACTCTGACCCATGTTGTTTGTGCATGAAGGACAGAAGTTTAGAAATGAAACATCAGTAAAACTTGCATGAACCTGAGTTATTCTGCAGGGCAGATGCATAGAAAGTGTAGTGTTAGGCTTTTTTGTGAATTTGTTGTTTCAACGTAGGCTAGTAAATTGATGGGATTGTCTCAGCCTTGATACCTTGTACCTGCCCTTGTCTTTCATTCAACCAACAGAACATGAGATTCACTCAAGGTTAGTTCGGTTCCTGGATTAAGAAAGCATGGTCTGTTTAACCTAAACCACTAGTCACATTTATTTCATAAATACTGGGTAAGGTAAATGTTTGATGTCCTGCAAACACAACACAAGCTGTAAAAACAAGTTGAAACTTAACTCTTTTGTAATGCTTTCTATTTACAAAACAAGTTTCAAGGAGAAGATGTTTCCTTAGTCAGAGCTGCGGCCTTACATGACAGGTGGATTAGTGTCATCACCATTTTATTAGTTTACAGGAAGGACGTTAGATCTGAAAATAAAATATCTTGTTTAAAAGCAAGGAGCTTTTGGCAGAGCTTGGATTAGAATTTGAAAATTTCCAGGAGCTGTTTCACAAGCAGTAGAGGCAAAAATCAAATAGTTCTACCTGTCAGTTATGAAAACAAATGGTATCTAAAGGAAAATATTCTCTTAGAAATGTAAGAGCAGTTCACATATCAGCAGAGTTCTGAGAATACTTTACTGAACATTCATCTTATTACTGCAGATGAAAGTTGTCCTTCTAATTGAATTTCAGTTGTTTTCTTTTGGCCCTGGGATTTCTTCTGTGGCTATGAGTGGGCTGATATTTGCGTTGATGAGTCAGCTCCTGTTCCAGTTTTTTAATAACTCACTGAAGCATGACCTAGATTACCATAAATTTAAGCAAAAACCTGCTGTTTGCACACCATTAAAAAAAGTATTTTAAACATGTTGATCAAGGTTCATTGATGGTCATTTATTTTAACATACTGAAAAAATCTTTCTGCATTTAATATTTGTGAGCCAGATGCTCAAAGCTAAAAGCAAAATTGCAGTTGCATTTGCCATCCTTTCCAGTGGTGGTTTTCTCAAAGCTTGCCCTGCTGTACAGACAAGAATTTAGAAAGTGAAAGAAACAGTGACAGAGGAGGAGAGGGGAAGTTTGAGTGTCGTGTGCTGCGCCCCATCCAGAAGAAGGGACTTTTGAATACATCCGTGTTTGATCTCAGTCTTTTCCATTAAATGGTGATTGTGAGCATCAGGTAGTGCAAAAGACGAAAGAGCCATGGTTAGTGCCTTGAGCTGTTTACAGTTTACCTGAGAAAGCTGCAGTGCACTGGAGGACAGCTTGCTTTTGGTGTGGGTCGTGTGTTTATTAAAACTGGATAGCAAATTGCATTGCGATATCTTCCACAATACTAATCTGCCTTGAAGCCAGCACATTTGCCTCTAGGGACTCTTCTTGTCTCAGACATGTCATGTCTGATAGTAAATGAGGACATACCCAAAGCGTCGTTACTTCCTAAGCCATTTGTAGGCACTGTGGACAACATGATCAACTTAACAGCAGTCTGGAGCCTCAAAATGGTAGGCAGGATAACATCAAGAAAGTATAAAAGTAGCCTGAAGCCACGTTTGTTCCCTTTCAGTCCAAGATGTGCCAGTTGTGCCCTTTTCACTGTTCAAACTCCTCTCTCCTGCGTCATTAGTCAAAACACAGATTTATTTGTGTTTAATGGCATAGGTCCAGCATTTGGGTTCAAAGGTTCAAAGCAGTTTTGCCCAATTTCATGAGAAATTTTTTGTGGGCAGAGGTATGTATCACACACCATCAGGTACGCTGTGCTGGGGAGCCATGCCTTCCTCACTGTGGTGGGCAGTAGGTGGAGTATGTGCCCCATCTGGGCTCTCTGTGTTTAATGATAACTAACTTCTGATGCGAGATCAGAAGAGTCAGTGCACTATCTCCTGTATCAGCATTGAACCATTCTTACCTACTCCTCTGCCAGGTCTCAGGCTAATATTTACTGTTCTTATTTTATAGACAATTACAGATACTGTGCTGCTGAACTGTAGAAAAGTTTGACTGAGCCCACCATATGGTCAGTACAATTTCTCAGGGGGTCAGCTAACAGCGTGATTTCAGGGGAAGGCAGGAAAACTTTCAGATGGAACTAATTTCTTTCAAATCATACTTTCTGATGTGGGAGGACATTTTCCTCAAAGCAGCTGAGCTGAAGAATATTTTTTGATGTGTCAGTTTGTAATAAATTGAATTCTGGTTTCCCACTAAGCATCTTTTTGAATTGCATTTTGGTCTCTTCTGCAAATTTTAAATGAAAGTTCAATCTAAAATTATTTCATAGCATACATTCAAATGCCCTGTCTACCGGTTTAATTAGTTCTTTGTAAAAGCTGTTCATAGTATCCATCCTCCTTGTTAAGCCTGCAGTAGTGTGATCAGGTCATAGGGTGTGAACGATGACCTTACTTTGCTTTCATTCTCAAGATCCCTAATTAAAAGAGAGTGATTTAAAAGTATCATTCAAGAGCTTTTGCTTCAGGAAAGCAGATGGATTTTAGTCTGTGACAACCGAAGTAAGTGTGAAGCAGTCTCAATATTGTCTGATAATGGCTTTGAGCACTGTCCTGGTGTTCACTGTGGGAATCCCCACTGCTCATGTGGGGAGTCCTGAATGACAGAGTATTGGATAGATGTCTTGGGACAAGGATCAAATCAATGAGATACTGATCTAATACAATGTAGTGACAGTCTTGGGAATTAAGAGATTGTAGGATGTTATGAGCAACTTCCACAGAAAGGTGAGTTATAGTATGGGATCACTCTTGTCTCTTAGAAGTGTCATTGCTCGGCGTTATACTTTATGCCCTTCAGAGTAATTTACATTTTGTGTGAAACTAAATCTGTTATGTAATGTAAGTATTTTGGAGAAATTACAAACACTTATTGCCTTGACATCTGTTTTATTTTGTAGCAGTATGCCCTGTAATACTTTGTTTGGAAGCTCATTCCTGGTGTTTGGGGGTTGCTCATATCACCTGTGGCGTAGGTGTGTGAGATATTTATGGGTTATTTATGGTTAGAAGGTGTGTCCTAACGATTAAATATAATACACTCTGTCACTGGCACCAGTGGGTGTAGTTTGTTTACAGAGGCTCAAGTAGTAGCTGGTGTGATTGGGTTCCGAGGTCCTCAGTTTGGTCCCCAGTGAGGATTCCGTGCGGTTACTGTACAACTTATGACACCTCACTTAGCTGATTAGGTTTGCTGGCTAATCTCCGTAAGCTCCTGTGGAAAAGGAGTAGGTGCTTGGAAAGGTGATTCATAATGTTTGACCTGGGCTTCTGTGCTGAATTGTTCCTTGGAGGAGTATCTCTGTCACTGCCAGCCACAGGGGCAGCCTAGGGGGGCTGGCTGACTGCATGTGGCATCCAAAGCATGTTTCCCAGCAACACTCTTCATCATCCTGTTTTCCATCTCATCATAACAGAAGCAGTTTGCAAGAGCTTTTTTTGGGAAGAAGCACCTTTGTTGCAGCTTTTTCTACAGGCAAGCATTGTAATACCAGCAACAACTACTTCCAGATTTGTTTTTTTCAGACTGCATCTACTGATTATATTTTCACTTTAATAAAGAAAGTTTGAGCTATTCAAGTGACAGAATGAAAAGTAAATATTCTTTAATACCTGTACTGGACAAAATAGGATTATGGACGTACCACAGAGTGAACTAACTTGCTTGGTGAGCTTCCCATACCTGTGTAGCTACTCATTAGGCTCAAGTGTGCCCAGTTTGCAGCCCTCTTCTGATGAATGGGCAATGTTCTTAATCCAGTTACTTCACAGTTACTGCTTTCCAGGATGCAGTCCCACACAGGGTGGGCGTGGGTTGCGTTCCTTGTCCATACAGATGATAACTTCGTGTTTGGCTGTATTCAAATACATTTTTGAGACTAAAATACATACTTGAGATCAAGTTGATAAACGATTAAATTATTCTATATGACTAACAAAATTTGTTCCTATATGATTCTTAGTGCTGTTCACAGATGTGATCAGCATTCATTTTATACGTATTTTTATATTATATGGAAGATATCAAACACTGTAAGGCCTAATACTGATGTCACTAAAGGTTCAGTAAAATATTCAGCCTGAAGATTTTTCCCTTAAAGAAATGTACTTTGGAAATGTACTTTGGAATTTTTTTCTGCCAAAATTCATTCCACAGAATGTTTTGATTCACTTCATTTACTTCAACCTCATAATACTACAGTGCTACTTTTTTTTTAAAATCCAGATATTTTTTGTTTTCAGCTGGGCAGTTTAAAGAAGCTGAATATATCATACTGTGTTATTTATCTGTATCAATCAAGCTTTTGCTCTCAGCAGAAAATTAAGTTGGCTTTATTTGCCCGAGTGCTTGATTTCCATTAAGTCACTGCTTTTCAGTGACAATTTTACAGTCTTTTAGTTTCTTCTGAAGTGACATGCAAGTCAGTATTTTCATTATTTTGTCCAGGCAAGATGTTATACTAATTGACCTGCAAATGGTGCCTTTCCCTATAACAGTAATTAATGTAATAAATTATGATTTTATTAAAAACACAAAATAACTATATTTGTGTGGAAACACTTAACCACACTAGTTAAGTGAAGAAGTACATGTGTGATGAAAATCAGAATATGATCACAGGTTTCAGAGTTTACAGAGTAAGTGGTAAAGGTGAGGTAGTGTAACGCTCCTCCATCGGCAAGGACACATAAAAGATGAAAATCTGTGTTGAGATCATGCTCGGAGTGCTCTCTCTGATACCTTCCGCAGCGGCTCCGATAGACATCCCTCAGGGTCACTATTTATAGTGTTGCTGGTTTGAAAGGATGTCCTTATAGGCACACACATCATGTTCCAGTAACTTTCCATTGCAGTCATAGTGTAACTTTTAAACAGAATTTTTCCCCAGCACACAGTGGATATCTTACTGTGCTTATTTACTAGTAGGCAGCTCTCATGTTTAATACGTTTGAATATTTATATTCTTGCTGTTGATGTAATGGAACCAGTCCTAGAGTGGGCTGCTAAATGCTGTTGCCTCAGAAGCTTGAATCCTTAAAGTTTCTTATCCATCATTCTCATTGGATATGAATACAGTGTTATATTTGACTGCTTTAATTCTTCCCAATGGGACCAGTAATAATATTCTTTTAATCATATTTTTCCACTGGTGGTAGTGGGCCAACGTCACTGCAAAGCTCCTTTTTTCCTTAGTGTGCTTTAAAACATCTTTTTGCCCTGTCATCTTTTGTCTTGCTAGTTGCAGATTTTCTTTTTTTCTTGATACCTTTAAGTTGCTTATGCAGTGAATAAGAGCAGACATGGATACATTGCACAATTGTGATATGTGTTATTTGCCTTGCATTTCAAAACTCTGTAATTTTGGTTTCTGGAATGCTGTTTAGCAGCATTTTGGATGATGGTGGTAAGTTGTCTCACGTTCTCTTATATTAACTATGTAACACATCCCAAGTTACTGCTCTGTCATCAGGTGTTTTCCAGGCTAAGCAGTAACTCCATGAAAAACTGTTAGATAACTTCATATGTCTATTTTTCTCTTTGACTCCTACGTAAACCATGTATGTCAGTGCATTTTGGGTGTTTGGTGAGTGAGCAATCTGTAGATGACACTGCAGATGTTAACAAACTAGCAAAACACAGCTTTGGTTCTTTTTCCAATACTTTGTCCTCCTCACCTGTGTTTGCACAGGAGCACGGTCTGCTGCAGCTTCAAGAAGGAGCGTCGTCATACAGCTTTAGGTCGGTGCTGTGTACCATGCTGTTGCTTTGCTATCATACTTTCATGACCTTTGTGTTAGGTAAGATTGTTTATAATAACTCTTGGATTTGATTAGTTCTTGTGGGACACAGAGGGGAAAAAGGTGATTCCATCACCTATTTGTTGGTGAATTGTTTGTTCGTGACCAGATTAAATATGACTCATTTGTGGGTAATTTTACAATGGTGATCATAACTGAAGAGAGTGTCTTAATCTTCAGAATTAAGGTTTGTTTAACACAGAAGAATCATAGAATCATAGAATGGTTTGGGTTGGAAGGGACCGTAAAGATCATCGAGTTCCCCCCCCCTGCCATGGGCAGGGACACCTCCCACCAGCCCAGGTTGCTCAAAGCCTCATCCAGCCTGGCCTTGAACCCCTCCAGGGATGGGGCATCCACAGCTTCTCTGGGCAACCTGGGACACTGCCTCACCACCCTCACAGGAAAACATTTCTTCCTAATATCTAATCCAAATCTCTCCTCTTTCAGCTTAAAATGGTTACCCCTCGTCCTATCATTACACTCCCTGATAGAGTGTTTCCTCATGTCTCCTGTAGCCCCCTTTAAGTACTGGAAGGCTGCTATAAGGTCTCCCTGGAGCCTTCTCTTCTCCAGGCTGAACAACTCCAACTCTATCAGCCTGTAGGAGAGGTGCTGCAGCCCTCTGATCATCTTTGTGGCCCATCTCTGGACCTGCTCCAACAGGTCCATGTCCTTCTTATGTTTGGGGCCCCAGAGCTGGATGCAGCCCTGCAGGTGGGGTCTCATAAGAGCAGAGTAGAGGTGGAGAATCACCCCCTAAAGCACTCTACGTGCATAAATGTATATATGTATGCATAAATGAGTTTTTAAGTCAGTAAGTACAATGTTGTTCAGGTCCCTGCTTGCTGGCTTAGTGCAGCACCAACCTGTATTTATGCCTACTTATCAGAGGGAGGAACTTAAATATTGGCCAGATGAGGATGGCTAATAAGTACCTGCATTGCTGGTTTTGGGGGGGGTTTTGTCTTTTTTCTTTTCTTAATATTTTTATAACTTGCATTTTTATGCATTCTAGGGACAGGAAAAGGAAATGTTGAGGAGGCAGAAAGACTACTTAAACCTTACTTGGCTCGCTATCCAAAGGTAAAACGAATCATAATTTAGTTTGGTGTGATAGTTTAATGTTTTCTTGCCAAATAAGATAGATTTAGACTGTATGGTCAGCTTGAAAACTGTTATAGAATACTTGTATTTTTATTATTATTTATTACAGGGAGCCATATTCCTGTTTTTTGCAGGCAGGATAGAAACACTGAAGGGTAATATTGATGCGGTAAGTAATCCTTTTGCTCTTGGGAAAGAAAGTTTCAAAAGCTTTAGAAAAACTCCTCCAGGAGCAATGTTTCCTTTTTGGCTGATGCTTCCGGTGGCTTTGTCCTTTATGTAATTTATAGTTTATGAATTACAAATAGGAATTTTGAAAACTATTTTGACTAGCTTGTTTGACCAGCTCATTTGCTACCTGTCTCAATTTCTGATCATAATCTAGTCTGCTGGTATTAATGATACAGTTTTCTCGTTGTCGTTTCTATCCTGAAGCAAGTTGTGCCTTTAATAACGTCCAGTGGTAACCCTTTGCCTTCAGTCTGAGCGGAGAGTCATACAAGACTTGAAAGAATTAGGGAGGTGAAGAATGCGTGTCCAAAACACCCTGAGAGAAAGTATCAGCTAATCTGCTGTGCGGTAGCTCCCTTGAAATCTTTGCAACTCCAGCAATAAATGGCAGCTAAGCATCTGCCCTTTGACTTTAGTTTCCTAATTTCCCTGGACACAAACTTTCGTTTTTGCCTGTGTTTAGAACTTAATATAACTTCCAGGAATGGGGAACTCTGTGGCAGGGGTAAACTTGACTAACACCAGGATGACTGTGGAGCCACGAGTCTTGTGTGAAGCCAATAGATGTGATTTTGGGGAATACAGCCTGTTAGTAATTTGGAAGTTTCAGGAGCCATGGACCCCCAGTGTCTGTTACAGCACTGCTGTATGTGTGTTTACACATGATTAAGGCAGTGATTGGAAATCTCTGTGTTCAGGCAGTGAAGAGGTATGAAGAATGTTGTGAGGCTCAGCAATATTGGAAGCAGTTTCATCACATGTGTTACTGGGAGCTGATGTGGTGCTTCACCTACAAGCGCCAGTGGAAGATGGCTTTCTTCTATGCAGACCTGCTAAGCAAAGAAAACACATGGTCAAAGGTAGGTTTAGCAGAACAGGAGGCCCTGTGGTGTCTATTAACTTTCAATCAGATTGAGTTGACTTTTTGTAACTTTGAAGCTTTTGTAGCTTTGAAGATGAAGATTGTAAAACAAAGCCTGGTCGGCTGTGGCTCTTGCAGAACAATGTGAATTGCAAACATAGAAACCTGAACAAACTGGGGGCAAACAAGTCTTTTGGGCTTGACTTGTAGATGAAGAACATCTTGTTAAAGATGTTCTGCTGTGTGTTGACTGGTGGTGTCTTCAACACATTGCAATTAATGGCACAAGTTGCCCTTTCTTTCACTATATTATGGGTATAAGCTCTTTTGGTGATGAATGAGGCTAGCCATGATGATGCCTCCAGGATAATAAATGTAATTACAAGAGGTGCCTTGCCCTGTATGTGTGAAACAGAGAAGCTCTTCCATCTAGAACCCTGGTAGGTTTTTTCCCCTCTGTCTTGCCCCAAGCCCTGGGGAAATCTGTCAGAAGGGCTTAAGTCTGACCAGCGCGGGGTGTGTGTGTCGTTGATTGGAGGTTCATTTCTTCTTAATGTGATCAAACTATGTGTGTAGGGAGGGTATCTCTGTCTGATTTTTCTAGTACACATTGTATGTATTGGCCAAGTGGAACAAAAACTGACATAAGGTCCCAGCAGCCAGGTGAGAGTCGGTCTCTCAGTCCTCCCACGCGGGTGAAAGCTGCAATATGGACCTTCTGTGCCCCTGAGGATTCCTGCAACGTGTTCAGCCACGTGCGTTATTCTGAATAGCTCCCACAGCCAGGGGTGCACTGCCTGACTAAGGGCTTTAATATCCTGAAATGCTGTAGGATTAACATTAACGTGTATCCTTTTAAACTCTGGATAGAGTTTTATAATATATTGCCAGGGCCTTAGAGAAGCAGAGAAGATATTTCCTATTAATATGTAATCTATAGTGCAACGTGATAGTAGCAAACTGGTAACTACATGAGCTGAATGAAAGATGGTCACATATATGCGCAGTTAGATTCCAGTGTAAATATATAATCACAGCTTAAAGTATTCCAGAAAACTCCTGAAATTTACAGTTACCAAAGCTGTACTCGAGAACTAGCCAACTGTTATTCTCTTCTGTTGCCAGAGTTGTAACAGTGTCTGCTGCTTTGCTTTCCTTGGTTGCTGAATGTATGATTGCTCAGGAAGCCCTGCAAAATCTGTACTTTTCATAATCTGAAATAATGAAATCCTTCAAAAACTGTTTGATGTTCTCTAGAGCCTAATATTTGAGATGTGCTACCAAACTGTGATTGGACACATAGACTATATAGCAGCTTTTTTTTTTTCTCTGAGCATGACCTTTTCATAAGTTTCCTAGCATGTATTCCTGAGAGTAATAAAAGTTCACTTTACACAAACATGACATTTGTTCTTGGAATGCGAATATAAACTATATGTTGATACAAAGTAAACAAAGACATACATGATAAAAAAAAAAAATTCTCCACTTTCTAAAATACTTATCTCCTGCTTAAGATTGTGTAAGATTATGTCTGTGAGCTAAAGCAGCAACTTCTTCCTCTTTGTCGCTGTTTTGTGCTTTGTATCAATAATGGTGATGCTGTAAATTCATTTTTCTGTACAGATATTCTTGATTGCATTTGCAGGCTACTTATATTTACATGAAAGCTGCTTATCTCAGTATGTTTGGACCAGATGACTGCAGTCCTTTTGGAGACAGTGAAGTTGAATTATTTAGGTAAAATTTGCTAACTCCCAGTTACAACAGTTTCCTATCTTTTCATGTCACAGCGTTGGGGGAAAGAGAGGCAAAATTATTCATTGTGCGGTTCGAAAGATCTGCACAAATAGCATCAAGTTGGTAAGCAATTGCAGAATTAAACATTGCCTTAGACTGAAGTGGACCCTGAGTTCAGACATGGCCTGGAAATACGGGATATTAGGTCTATCAGCCATACAGTGGCTGCTGCTGTTGTATGTAATATTCACATTCTTTTTCAGTTATTTCCTTGAACCACAATGGCAAGTAAAAGATGAAAGTCTTCAATGGATTATGCTGCAACATCTGTGCCTCCTTAGTGGAGACATCAGTACAACTCGATTCTTAGGTTTTGATTCTGAGAGGAATATGACATAGTTAAATGTGCAAGTGAATATGTGCATTATTAATACAGTGAGTTAACCTGATTGTGATGTTTAAGCTCAAAAACGCCTAAACCTTGCTGTACCAAAGAAAATTGATTGCTTTGTTTCTTACAATTTTTCTATACAATCTAAAGATAACTTTTTAATGTGCTTACAATATATTGATACTTTTCAGGTTTTCCATTTCTTATGTAATCATTACAAGCAGATTTCACTGGATTTGGGATCCATTACAAAGTGAAGCAGTTTGGTCTTTGGGAGAATGGGAGAAACACTGACAAAAGCTAGCTTGCTTCTTCCTTAGTCTGTGAAGAGAGATGGGCCCTTTATAAGTCAGGTGCATCATCTAATTTATTCTTTGGGTGGGGAAGAGTCCCTCTTCCTCCTGCTTGATTAAAGAGGAAGCCTAGAGATATACGTGCCCTGCATAAAGACAGCTTTTGTGAATATGTATTGCTCAGGTTCCTCAGAGGCAGCAATAGCTCAGTGTGTAACAGCTTTTTTTTTTTTTAAGTTCTCTTTGGTTTGATCCTTTTTTTTTTTTTTTTTTTAAGTTTGAATGTTTTTTTTGCCAGAGGTTCACAGAGGAAAAATTCCTTACGTTTTCCTTTAAATTTTCAGGATTGTTCCCAGTTTGAAACTGAAAATTGCAGGGAAATCATTGCCTACAGAAAAGTTTGCAATTCGGAAAGCTCGAAGATATCTTTCTCCAAACCCCGTTCCTTTGCCTGTTCCACCTTTGGTAAGTTAGAAATGCATCCCCCACTTATTACCATTTTTTTTAACTTATGGAAGTAAAAATGAGATAATTCGAATAGTATCTTTCTGTGTTTCTAAGGTAAAACTTCTGCAGGAGACTGGAATGTTCCCAAAGCAAAGCCAAATGAATGCAAGGAATGCTGTAAAACTGGGGCATGCACCAGCCACGGGGAGCTAAGCCAGTTGTTTGTGACACGTAAATGTGTTGCATGTGTAACTCATTATTCCAGCTATAGACTGGCATGCTCCTAACAGCTTTCTTTTGATTCCCTTTTGAGGAACTCTGCCCTAGGTCTCTTCTGTCATGTGTCATTTACTGAGACAATTGAAAGAAGACTTTAAAGGTACAAGTTG